ACATCGTACGATAATATTTCTTGGTAAATTATACATTGAACAAATGGTTCATATAAACTATGCAAATCTTTTATTTGAAGTAAATTCAAGCGAAATATTTGTGTTGATGGTTTCTTAATTGTACATAATCTACCTTCTTGCATAGACAGTGACGGATATAGGATTTTGGTAAATAGTACAAAAATCGAAAAAGAGTTCAAGAGGAAGGAGTGATCGCTTTCAAAGCTCCTCTCAAAATCCGACACTATTAATAGATAGCAATATTTCTTTTTTTTTTTTTCTTCAAAAATTTTTTTTTTGACAATTTATTTGATATACCTATAAATAAACAAGCAATCTCTTGTAAATTAGTAAAAGAAAAGATGGTAAATAAAAGATCCATATTAATTCCTGTTGATTTAGACTCATTATAAAATGTAATAACTAACTTTTATTTATCGATCAAACTAGAGTAATCATTTTTCAATCTGAATGATTCGAAAAGAAAAGCTGTAAGAATCTCAGGACTCAACTTTAAAACGTTATATACAAAAATAGAGTAAAAAGATACTCATACGAAGGATTCTCACTATGTGCTTTATGCTTACCGGGCAGATACACTACCATTAAACGAGAAGATACATCGCCACTCTATCTTGCGACTCTGTCAAAACACTATAGACGTCACAAAAACGATCTCGTTGGTATAGTCTCTATAAATACAGAGTGTCTCATAAGTAGCACTATGATAAAAAATTCAAATATTTCTACTCCAGTTCAATTAAATGGGCTGATTTTTTTGTCTAATAATAGAATTTTATTCAAAATTTTTTTTTAATACGGATAATGTAAGTGAACACTTCTACTAAGTATTATTGTTGACCTTACTAAAGAAATTTTGTCTGTTATCATGTAAGAAAAAAATATATATGAAGGCTTTCATAGATAATATAGCATTGATGTAAACAGACCAAATTTTCAAGAGTAGTTAATTTAAAAACCAACGAGTACAATATTTCGAAGTGTCAAGCATGGAACACTAGCTTTGTCGAAGAAGTTGATGATTCAATCTCCAAAAGGCTTTAATTGTGCGTTTGACTTTTCAAACGCGACTTGTGACATTTAAAAATGCTAGTTCTGAAAATTTGGTCTATTTACATTAATGCTATATCACTTATAAAACTTGTTTTGGTTTCTTCTTGTTGCTTTCTTAAGTAACAACTAAAAATTCTCTATGAAAGCCTTCATATATATATTTTACTTACATGATGACAGATAAAATTTCTTTAGTGAGATCATCAATAATATTTAATAGAAGTGTTTGCTTACATTATTCGTATAAAAAAAAATTTTTCGAATAAAGTTCTATCACTAGGCAAAAAAATCAGCCCATTTGATTGAACTGAAATGAAGATATTTGAATTTTTTATCGTATTGCTGTTTTATGACACACCCCGTATATCAATAGTGTATAGGTATGAGAAAAAAGCAAAAGCGTACACATAAATTGTATACTGTTGTTCTCGGAAGATCATTCGATAGGATAAGCCTAAGAAAAAAAATTCATGAAAGAGATTATTGTATGTCTTACAAATTTGAGAGAAAAAAATTTCAAGTTTATTCATTATTTTTATATTCGAATGTTTATGTTATTTTTCAGATAAATTGATTTCTTGTTCAACTATATGACGTTCACCCTCATAATACGTGTCTATTTTCTTCAACTTGATGATAACGATGACAGCGACGTTTATTCGTAGACTGTTGTCATCAACAGTTCCGTATGATTTCCGATTGCATTTTTATTCCAATAGCCATCCATATTTCTAATCACAATGATCATGTAAAAATTTACAACTATCATCAAAAAACTACAATAATCTAAAATAAAGAATAACAAAATTATTTTGAAATTAGATAAAATTTTGATTGTTATAGACCTATTTCTATAAAATTTTTACAAATGTCAGATTGATAATAGATGCGCTGGTACACGAATAGAACCTAAATAAAAATAAACAATCAAATCAAATATAAAAGCATGAAAATATAGATAAGAATATATTTAACCTTTACTTCGGATAAGACTACTACTTGTATTTTCTTGTGCAGTATCTTTTTTTGTTTCATAAAATTGTTGATAATTATTAATACTACGATAAATTTTATTGTCTAATTTTTCTTTTAATTCTGGATTAACTTTTTTTTGCACGTTCAAAAATAGATTGTTGATCTTGTTGTTTATAAGTATCAATTTTAATTGTAGCTATTGCATTCATAATCTTTTGGACCTTGTGATTGTACTTGTCGATTAAATTTATATTTAACAACAAGTAAATTTTTACTTTCGTATTTGTATAATTATTATCTTCATCAACATATTGAATATGTTGTTGATGACGTTTTGTTGATATATTATTACTACTTATTGAGTTTGAGATCAGCTACATGTACATGGTTAAAGGAAAGAAAATAAATGTAGGAGAAAAAGTTTTCGATTCTTTTGACATCAATGTGACATGATTACAAGTAATATGAGAAAACGATAAAATATACAAAATGAAAAATATCTAATCATTTTTATATAAAATATTTTCGCGAAAATATATGATCAATTAAATAGTGTCAGACTAACTTTGATATAGTTTAATGAGAAATAAATCTTGTCGTTTCTTATCTATTATTAAAATAATAAATATCTATATTTAAAATTAAATCGTTATCAAGGAATATTGATTTTTTTTTATTATTTTTGTTAATTACTTAAGATCTATCACATCACATTCATATGTCAGCTTGTGTAAATTGTTCATAATCGTATTTTCTTAAAGTATAAAAAAAATTTATAATAATCACAAATTCATACAACTATAAACTCAAGTTTTCATAAAATATTAGAAGACAAATAATTACAAGAATTTCCGTTATAAACGTTTCTACAGTTGCAATCGTTCCAGCTTTCAATCTCGGTTATTTTCGATCTATAAAAAAAAAATTTGAACAATCCACCGAAGTAATTTATATAAACTATACACATATAAAAATACTTTTCGAATACTTTTTTTGTGCCTGTTTATTTAGAAAATAGCAATTTTTTCATATTTCAACAGATATTTCACTGTTGTTGAAAGAAAATGTTATATTTGTTTTGTTCTTCTTTTATCACTTACTTTTCAAAAAGTAACAGAGAAAAATTCAGTGAACTCACGTGGATAATCGTCTGTAATAGAGAAAACGATAGAGACATGCAATCGAAAGAGAATCCAAAGCACAATTATTAGTTACATGAAATTTACGAAAGTTTATATCACTTAATACTTAACAGATTTGTACTGATCATTTTTTGTAGAACGTGTTCTCAGAAAGAATATGTATATGATCAGCAATCCGTATGTAATGAGGTCGAAAAATAGTACAGTACAAACATTTTCTGTTGATTTCATTCAAATACTTGAAATGTAGATTTTAGCTATTCGTCTCATGTACTTATTTGATAGATATACGCTAAACAAATTTTCAATTTATTGGTTGTGAAAGACATTATGTAGTTATAAACATGAAGATCTTCTAGTTTTACTGATAAATGTTTTCGTCTTTTGATTTTTTTTTTTTCTTTAAATATTTTCATAATTGAAACTTTAACAGTTAATTTGAAATTTTGATAAAATTTTTGCAAAATCCCTCGTCTATCTGTAGCTTCTTAATATCTCATGTAGAAAAGTGTAATGTAAATAATCGTAGAAATGATTATTTGTTTTTTTATGATATATTCTTTTTGTTTTTTTGATAATCGAGATTCGCATCGCATTTCTCAGTCAAAAGAAACTTGAATCCTATTTAGTTGATTTTGAATCGAATATATTTAAGTATAACGCTGAATATATATATATATTTTTTTAATGTAAAAAATTTTGGTTTGTTGTGAATTATGTGGTAAATGAAAATGAAATTTTTGATCATACGAATTATATACTGTTTAAAAAAAATATCTTCCTATCTTGTTTTTAGTGTATTACGAGGTAAGTGTGTGTGTGTAATATATTTTGTTTCATGAGAAATTAAAAATTTATCCTTCATATTAAATTATTTAATATGAAAAAATAATAATAAAAACAGATTGTGGTCCAACTATATTGGACGGGCTGCCTACCGTTGTCTATTCACAAGCGCTATCCCACGACTACTTAACATGAGGTCTTTGACTTGCTCGCTATTCGCGCCTCAGCCGGTTCAACCTTCCTTAGACGCCCTGGAAGGAGAGATTCCTCAACTCCTACCATGTCGATGCCAAGCTTCGTGCGGACGCTCGATCAACATAGAGCAACGACAAACAGGACTCCCGCCCGCAAGTCATTCACACAATCCGACCCCAGAAGTAGCTCCGGTTACAGAAAGACGCCGCGCTTTCCAGTCGATGATTAACAACATTCAATATACTATTTATATTGAAATCAATTGATATGGTGCAATTACATCCATACATGGTAAATCATGGAAAGTCTTTGGTCGGCTATTAGCGGCATCTATTGAATACATATGTACACTAGAAAAAAAAACAAGGTTCTGTTTTATCTTCTGTTTTCCCCTCCAGAAATCATTGATGCATAAAAATTATATTGAAGAGAAAAAAAAGAATGATGTATCTAATTATAGACATATAGGTGTAAAATCGTATGTTTTACATAGTTCATTTTCTCGTCGTTCTTTTTTTTTTTTCATACATTTTTTTTCCATGTTGAAATGTTATATCAACGATAAAATGATATTTGAATATCTCTGTCTGTATAACATCATGCGTTTCATTTTTGTTTAGTTTGTGTTTCCTTTTCTTTTTCGATACGTATGAAGTCTGATTCATTTCTAAAGTGATCACCCAACCGTAGGATGAATGATTGTGACTAAATATGTATTTATATTCTTGTTGTTTTTTTGTCACTTTTAGTATAATGTAATAAATAATAAAATTTCCGTAGTTCAAAAAAAAAAAGAAAACCAAAATGGGGTTGCGCAGATTCGCAGCTATGATTAGTTCAACCAATGATTATTCTGTTTTAAAATGGCCATTAATAATTATTAGTTTTTCTATAACACTTTTAGCGTTATTGATTTTATTAAGTTTTAATTCACATAATTGGTACTCATATGAATCAATTCGTATTCGTAGTAAAACAATAATATTTAATAAAACAATGCAATATTCTGATATACTTGAATATGGTTCATTTGGTTTATGGTTTATTTGTATTCATCAAGGTGATAGTCCGACACATCACTGTGACACATGGACATATGAAACTCGACCTCAATATTTTAATATTATCATTATACTATCAACATGTACATTATATCTTGCTAATTTAGCAATTTTTCCATCTTGGGCTTTATTAATACTTATACTTTATAATATAAATAATCGTTATTTACAATACATGAATGCTTTTATTTGGACTATCTTAGTTCTTTCTTTATTAATTACATGTATTCTTGGAGCAATATTGATAATTAATGCATACACAAAATTTTATTCACCAGGAAAATTTTTTATCGAAACAACATATATATCATTTCATTCCGATCGAGGAATATCTTATATGGTTGCTGGTAAGTAATCAATGATTTTATGAATAGAAAAAAAAAAAAAGCAAGATTATTTATATTTATTCACTTTAGCAACAATATTAGCCAGCCTTTGTTTTCTCTTAATCCTGATAACATTTGTATGGAAAACATTTTTGGAAATGAAAATGATCGAATCAGAAGGAGCACTTCTTAAACAATTATCTGATGAACATTTTCAACCAGGTTGGCATAAACCTATTATGATACCACGTTCTGCAACATGGTTGGATGATAATTATGAAGAACCACCACCATATAATTATTTTGATGATGAAAACAAATAACTGAAAGTCTTTTTTTTTTTTTTCTTAGTAAAAAATCATTCAAATTAATTAATATATATTTTTTTTCTAACCTAATAAAAGACTTTATTTATGTATTTAAAAGACTAATTAATCACAGAGAAAATTTTTATATATTGAATATTAAAAATACTATTAAGAAGAAAAAAACAAAGCAAGAATCACAGCTTTCATTTAGTATATCAATAAATAACTTGTAAAACTTTATTGTATAGTTTTAAAAAATTTTATTAAGTTCAATAGATATAAAATAAAGGTTATATAAATCGACTAGATACAAAAATCAAAAACAAGCAAAATAGCACCATATAATTAATCAAATTCAGATCCAATTGTAATACTTATTTCATCTTCACTAATCACAAATGTTTTATGATACCATACATTAGTATTAAGTACAATAATTTCTCCGGGTTCAACAATAAATTTCAATTCTTTACATTGAAAGAAACATTCAGGTACTGGTCGAAGTGTCCATTGTTTTCGTCCACGTACTTGTGCTTGCCATGATGGTAAATCAACATTATCAATATGCATATGTGCACCGAAACCTGGTGTGCCCTATAGAAAACAAAAAACAACATGTAAATTTAATTTTAAAAAAATCAAATTTTTCTTTTCAAACCATAAAAATCCAATCAAGTTTACTGGATTCTGATTGTTTAGGTAAAAAATAAGGTTTTGTATAATATTGTCGAAGAAGATAAGCTGTTGAATAATCACAATTACTCCAACCAACATACCATGGTCGATAATTATCATTAATCATATAAGCTCTTTCTAAATCCATATCAAAAACATCACCTAATGTTTCAAATTCATCTTTATTTCTATATGGAAAAAATTGACAATTTTCTTCAACAGCAAGAAGTGCACTTGAATTCATTCGATAAAGACGTTTAAAAAATTTAAAATTAAATTCTTCTGTTGCTAACCAATTATTCATTGCATCAGTTATAATAACAGGACGATTTGTATATGCATATTTTTCTTCAAATTCTTCTCGTGTTATATTAGATATACGTTCAATATGATTAAGATTATGACAAATATCACAAGATATTGGTGGACGAAATATATCAATAATTGATTCAAGTTTAGGTGCAAGACATTCTTCACGATAAATATCAATTGAAAAAAGTTTTCTATATGAATATTCAAGAAAATGTTCAATACCAGTATGTGATATACCTGTTGTAAATAAACTAAGTAGACCAAATATAATAGCAAGTATAAGATAAATATCACAACATCTTCGAGATTTTATTGATGAAATAGTTTTTAATTTTTTATAATTTGAAAGTTTTTCAATATCATCAATAGATAAAGATTCACATTGTTGAATAATAGATTGAATTTTTTTATCAATAATTTTCGTCATTAATATATAAATTAATTTTTGTATGAAGTATATATCGAATAAACAAGTATATTACGTTTTTTATTTTATTTATTGACATACATACTACTTTTCATAATACCAATGATCAATAGTAGCTATGCCATCTGTCATTTCTAATGATTGGCTAGGTGACTTATTCATAATGAGTCATAGGATTAATTTCAATCGACTTTCACTATCATTTAACAGAATTTATTTATATACATTCACTACAAAAGAAATGATAGTGCACTCAACAACAATTTTAGAAAAATTATCTTATATTCAAATAGAATATTGTACTAAGTAGTAACGATTATTTAACAAAAATCTGATTTTTGAAAAGTTAACATCAGCAGCAGATAATACTATTTTCGAAGAGAATAAATAGTTACCCGACAGAGGAGGCAGTCATAGTTAGAAATCATTTTTTAATTTTGATACATAACTAAAAAACTTCTTGGAATGAATGACGATTATCCTTTCATATCTCTCCTATAAATTCACCATAGCTTTACATATTAAAGATGTCAGAGTACATGTTGTGAATATTGCTCAACAAAAATTTACTATAAGAATCAATAACGGTGGCAGATCAACAATTCTAGCGAGAAAGTGACAGTTTCTAAACGGTACCTTTCGAGATAGTACGAATGAGGTGTTGGTACCCACACCCAGCAAATCTTGTTGCTGACATTTTTTGAGTATTACTTGAAGAGGGAAAAACAATACATATGACTTGTTCGAAGATTATTTTCAAACAAATTTATTTGTGATGATAATAATGATATGACTTGAATTTTTTGATTATAGATTTTGAATATGATTGGCAGGATGAAGAATAACAAATTTCATTTAAAGCTAATTCCTATGATTTATTTCCACGCTCTACTTGCTGTTCATTGTTGTCCTTTGAATTTGGGATTTAACTGAGATATTATAAAAAAAAATTCACATTTTACTAGCAGACGCTTTGTAGAAAGAAAAAATAGATCTTTTTCAGAAAGCATTTAAAACCGTTAAGAAGACTCTCAGATTGTGTTTTTTTTGTCATCGAATCTACTAACCATTGATAACACACTTAACATTCGAGGCTGATATACTTTGGTGACCTTCTCGATTTCAATTACTGTCTGCAAAGGTTTATTAGAGAAGCTTTCTAAAAGATTTCCCTATTGTCTCTATTCGTGACGGGATGGAGATTGCTATGCTGCTGGATCCGCTAATATGTCTTCTTCGTTTGATTTTATGAAACTCACATATATTTCTCGAAAGAAAATAGTGAGTAGACGTTTTAAGTTAAGGCTTTGCGGCTTCATTTATCTTCAAAGGGACCAGGATCAAAGATCGGTGGTGAACGGTATTAACGACAAGACTTAGACTTTTCTAGAAATATTTAAAAGCCTTCTTTGAAATTTAAATAGTTGAAATACATTTTTAAATATTCTAAATAATGTAGTTTGATCATAGTCGTCATATGATCAACATAAAAAGTGTAAACTGATCGAGTGAGAACATTCAAAAATAATCAATGTCAGTGTTTTTGAGCTTATCGAGATATATAATAATACAATGAGACCAGCTGTAGATATAATGGATATATACAAAAGGCTTATTTGTCAATTAAATCAATGATAATAATAATAATAATGTTAAAATTAAGAAAAGTGGAATATGAAAACCAAAAATAACAAGCGAATAGCAACAAAGCAAACACAATATAGAGCATCAATAGAAAAAAAGAAAAAATGTCTAATAAATTAGATGACGCACAGATTCTCTCTTCAAAATCACCATTTTGTGAAGCAAATTGAAAACGAATGGAACCTACAAAGATATTTGTGTGTTTGTTCTTGGTGGAAGTTGAGACATCTATCGTTATTAATAATTGGTTAATTTTCAACTTCGAATGAAAAATGTGCGTCGTGGATCGATCGATCTATCTAAAGCATAGTAATTTTAATAAACAAGAGTCTATTCATTATTACAAACGAAACAAAACAAAATGTCTGCATCAACAGAAAATCAAACACTCTCACCATTACTTGATACAATCGATATTCTTAATGAAACAAATACAACAGAAAAACAAGTATTTGTTGCACGTACTGATGGAATGTTATTATCCTATTCATTTCTTGTTCTTGCTGCACTTTTATGTGTTTATTTTGGTTCATTTCGATCGATAATACATAAAGATAAACAAAAAAAATCTGGAGAAAAACCTGATGTACTTACAGCTAAAGATGGTAATGAAATTTAATTTTTTGAAATCATAAAACAAATATTTTTTGTTTTGTTTT